CTGGAGTAGTGGCGTCTGACTGAGGAAGTTAAGTTAGGACAAGCTCTGCCTTGCTGTGTCCTCAAGCGACACACACACACACCCACATCTATATCATATACACATCTATAAACACACACATGCACATTATATATATATATATATATATACATATACACACACACACACACACACACACACACACACATAGAGAGAGAGAGAGATTTTCGAGACATACATGCCGAAATGTGTTTTCAGATGCATCTAAAATCACAAGAACACAAACCCATTAGTGTCATGTATGAATTGTGAATCTTTTCAGTGATATTAAAAACACTGATATTCATTTCATATGCAGTAACAGATGCCATCGTTTAAAATCAATTTAATGCAGAGAATATATCGGATGATTGTGCATATCATTAATCAAAGCCGGTGTAGGTGTAAAATAGCGTGAAACAGAAGCTTTTCAATTAGATGGATTAAAACGCATTGTGAGGCTTTATCTTTCTTTCATCTCGTCTTCCCCTTAAAAAAAAGACGATGGCAGTCACGGCAGCTGAATCTCATCACGAAGAACTAAAGTCAGGATCTACACACACACACACACAGACACACACACACACACACTGTGGGTATTGTGGGCCACATCTGACATGTACAGTATGTGTGTGATAGCCACAGGGTGAGGGACTTGTCAATGACAAATCGATACATTGAACTTACATTGAGCGGCATTTTGGAGACACGTACACAAGCGTCGGTTTGTTGAAGAAAAACCTGAAGCTCTGTGAAATACATTGCAACCATCTTCATATCCCGCGTGTCCTCATTCGGGTCGTGGGTGAGCTCGAGCCCATTTCAGCTAACTTTTCATTGGCCGCGAGGAATCGACCCATTGAAACAGCATGTCTGGCGTGGTCCATAAATGCGTACCTCTGTCTCCTTGATCTGTGTTCCTTTTTCATTTTAATCTCGTTTCTTTGATGTCATGAAATTTGTTCGAAGCGCCGCCTATTTTTACAGCATTGTTTCGACTTGTTTATATGCAGTGCGGCATAGCTCAGTAGATTTCGAGCAACTGGTTCGTGATTCGAACCCCTGTTCCCCACTTTTGTCCTTTCCAAAGTATCATTACAGAACGTTCCACTGAGGCTTGAATGGACTGTTTACTGGTGACACCGCACTCTTATCATTTGTTCTGTGTGGAAGTGGTTTGAGTGTCTTCATTTCAACTCACTGAGCATTTTGATTTATTTCAATCTTTGCAGGTGTTATTTTCATTCAGGATGTGTAGGTTAGAGGTAAAAGTATGTCAAGTATTCGACAGTCACTTGAACAAATGAAATGACATGAGAGCCAATTTCAAGCCGCAGAACAGCATCATTGCCAAAAATGATGGTTTCCAAGTTTCCATAAATATTGTGAAAATAAAGTGAATGTCATCTTATTTACATTTTATTGAGTAAATATCCTAAAGAAGGTAGGTTGCACTTGTTAATACAACTAAACCTTTTCTGAGAATGCCACCCATGAACTATTATTTCGCATTGTGTAAACGTGTGATGTTTTTTTTTTTTTCAGAAATATCAAGGAAATACAAATTATTTCGCATTGTGTAAACGTGTGATGTTTTTTTTCAGAAATATCAAGGAAATACAAGTTGTGTTAAATGTTTTTTTTTTCTCCAGGCTTCTCTATTTCTGCGAGATAAGGTTGTACTTGACTATTTGGGATCAAACTACAATTTGGATCCGAATGCTTTCCCCGTTACACCACACCTCCCTCTTTGGCTCATTATTTCACTTGCTCGCACCTGCATTGCAAACATTAAATCTCTGGAGACAAATAATGAGACGACGCAGTTCTTCCTGGAAACTTTAATTGTTTTGACAACGCCTCACAAGCCAGTGAAGGTCAATTCCAACAGTGCAGCTGACAGTCATGTACATGTGCCCTCCCACACTGGCAGGAGGGTGGTGAGGTAAATTCGGTGTTCAATGTCATGAAAAAAAACGTTTTTTTTTCTTATTTAACCATATGCGTGCTGAAATAAGCTCACGATTGCAGAAAAGCATGCTAATCATCGCAATTAACTGTAATTAATGTTTGTTGCGCCGTCCTCATAAAATAAAAAGTGATTCAGTAGAATTGCCTGTTTCGGTATTACATTGTACATTGTTAGAAGTGCTGCATGTTGTGGACTTTTTTTTCACAAGTGTGCATTGTAAAATAATGAAGTCCGGCCTTTTCATTTAAAAAAAAAAACAAAAAACACCCAACAACAACTACAACAACAACCCAACATATAAAATAGCTGAGCGACCTATTGCCCCCGAACGGGTCAAGTGTCATAGTTAGTGAGTATAAAAACAACAAGTGAAAGCTGAGCAAATAAAAGAAGTTATCTACACGGGGAGGCCTGCTTCAGTGCACATTTGACATCTCTGCAATGAGCCTGACATGCTACATATGAATCTATTCCAAAACATTGCAAAGTGAACTGATATCGTCATATGAGGACAAAACCACATTCATTCACAAAAGACTTCAAAGTGGAAACACAATATTTACAAAACAACCAACATAACTCTTAATAAAAATATCTCATAATTACAATACAGTAGTCTATTTGAAGCATAAACGTATTCCTTTCACATATTTTTTTTTTAATCATAGAACATTTGTTTCTCTTCAAGTACAATTATAATTGTTTTTTCAGATTGAATTGTTCTTCTTTACAATATCAAATATGATGTGATGGCAGGAATGGCATCCCTGCTCCACACAAATCATCTATTTGAAACAATAGATGTCCAAAATATGTACAGCAATTTTGCAGTTCAGTAAAGCTTTAAACTCACATTTTCTTAAAGCACAATTCACTAAAGGTTTTCATGTAATGCTTGTTCGTGACTGGGGTTTAAAAAAAAAGTCTCAAACTGTAATTTCATTTTCAAAAAGAAAATATGGCAAAAAAATGTGGATAGGGTTGGTTTGGGATACACATAAGGAGACATTTTTTTTATGCTCATTCCATGCTCAATGGAATAAAAATAGTCATTATATTTAAGATTAGTTCCTTCCGATAGTTTCCAAATTCCTTTGTGATTGTGCATCCAGTTGGCTGTGAGTCCCTGGCGAAGCTTTGCTGGCTTTTGGAGCGATTCTGTGCAGCCTGCACACCTGTGGAGGGCATGAATAGAGATGGGGGGGGTTGAGCTTCAGCGCTCCAGACTGACTGGCGCCACCAACAAAACAGAGGCCATGCTTGATCAACAACCCAAAACAAACCAGGTCAAACAACATCCACACGGCTTGTCAGGCTACTGGCCTACTGGCCGGCCGAATGGCGGACCTCTGAGAGTCTGGTACACTTTAAATCGACCGCCACACCAAATAAATGCTGTCTGCGCCGAGTTTACTCAGAGGGACTGAGAGTCGGTGTCAAAAACTCAAAGAGAGGCCAACGTGATGTTTGAACCTTGGCTGCTTCTCTGATTGCTTCACCGGTGACCGTTATTGCACAAAGCACAGCTGTCTCTGTTCATGTTGCTCAATTATTCTTTTCCTTGTCATGCAATCTCCTGCATTTACACCAATACGCTACAATATTGTGTGTTTGTTTCAATGAGGATGCTTCACTGACCAACACGTTGTAGTGTTTACACGACTCCTGATTTAAAGGCACACATATACATGTGCAGATTAAAAATCATTTTAATTATACAACAATAACTACAACAGTATAATAAAAATAATGACACTTACCAATGTGTTGCTTTTGCTTCAGCGGCATAAAATGGAGTCCTCTGGCTTTTTGACAATTGACGTCCTCTAAAAACAAAAAAAACAACAACAAAACAAAAATAAAAAAGCAGATGTAAAATGATACCCAGTAGAGCAAATCTAATAGTTTAGCTTTATAAAATCTGTGCCAAGTGGCCTGAAATAATACATTGCATGGAAAAATTGCAGCCCCATTAAATTATTTTATGGCCTATTGAATAACAAATTGCCTTTTTTGTGCGCGGTGGAGTGGACTGGAGGCTGAGATACTTCACCGGCCGTGGGTTGAGTTGGGCCTCTGACACACACTCGTCATTATCATGCAAATCATAAAGCCTGCAATCAAGTGCGCAATCTAAGAAACGCCAATAGCGCATTTTCCTTCCCCCATATCGTTCGACAGAAACACGTGTGGGTTATTGAATTTCGCCAAGAATTTCGCTTCCATTGACGGGACAATGCCATGTAGCGGGGATGACGCGCTTTGTCTGCTTTGTCGCTATAGTCTTCCACAGCTGGGTTAAACATTCCCCGATTGAAGCGCGCACTATTCAACAACCGGTACCTGGTGGTGGTCAATGTTGAGCACCGTAAGCGGTGTTCGGCTGGGGTTGGACGCCATAGGAACGCACGTTCCGGTCCGCTGAGGCGCTTGTTTGTGGAGAGAAGGGTGCGTCTCGAGGGCCAACTGCAGGTCCAGAATGTAGTCAATGACGTGCTGGAGGATCTCCACTTTGCTGACTTTCTTATCCTGCGGAATGGTGGGCACCAAGCGTTTCAGTCGGCTGTAGCAGTCGTTCATGTCGTACTGCAGACAGTGCCGGTCCTCCTCTTCCATCCTGGACCGGGCGGCGTTGAGACTCTGCTTGGTCAGATAGCTTTTCATTTACTGCCTGCTGCTGCTGCTGCTGCTGCTGCTGCTGGAGGAGGAGTAAGACGAAGAGTCCTGGGGGTGCGCAGGAGGAACAGCCTTCATCGCAGACAACGAGAAAATCAACTATTATATGGCACTGAGCTAGAGATGCTAATTAAACTGCTTCAAATATGAATATTTTTGTGTGAGTGTTTTTTTTCTCGGGCGCTCTTCTGCTGCGTTAATATCCCGTGAGGCCGCAGTCACACTAACTCGATCTGACTGAGAGTGCACACAAGGAGCAGATTGTGCACATTTTATAGAGGAGAGGAGAAAAGAGGGGGAGGCGCCAAGCCACCACACTGACACACGAGGGAGAGAAGCTGGTCAGTCGGCGGCAGTCAGGCAGCCCGCTGCTCACCGACCAACCGCAACTGGGGTGAAGGGGGGGGGGCGTGTCTCGTCTTTACTGCTGATAGTCACATTTCAAACATTTCTCTGTACCTTTACAGTTAGTCATTCTACAGGTTTGACACGAGGAATCTTTGACGCACGTTTCTCAAAATCAAACACATAGAGGCTTCCTTGCACCGAATTGCACATGGAATTTGAGTTAGTTAATTGTCATTGTTTTAACTTTGTGTCTTGTGCATTTTATTTCGCACAGCAGTACAAAAATGAATATTCTCATAAAAGGGACTGTAAAAAGCTTTACAGACCATATCGACTTTACATGAAACGTTTATCATGTCCAGCCCACGTGTCGATCACATTTATAATAATAATAATAATAATAATAATAATAGTAATTATAATATAATTATTGTTATCATAAATTACTCATTAGATGACAATGCTCGCAACTCAGTTTACCCGTGTATCAAATCTCTGCTCCAGCCTTCTTGTGTGGAATTTCTTTGGGTTTCTGCGGCTACCACCGCATTCCAAAAACATACATGCATGTAAGGTAACAGAAGACTCTAAACCTGTCCTGGGGTGTGAATTTAAGTGTAAATTGTTGTTTGTCTATATGTGCCAAGCGATTGGATGACAACCACTCCAGGGTGTGGCCTGCTTTTCACTTGTTTGCTGGGATAGCCTCAGCCGCGTCTCTTATGAGAATCAGTGCTAAAGAAAACGGATGGAAATGCATTGAAATGCGAAACCTCTCAGAAACAAAATTTGAGGGGTTACATTTTTCAAAGAGACAAAGAGCAATGAAAGTATAAATAAAGGAATGTAATAACATAGAAGGTAAAGAAATGAACTAGTTTTGAGGGTGTAATCAAGCTCAGTCACATTGTTGTGCATTAAAGGTGTGCCTTTAAGGGGTGTGGCCTACAGTGTGTCAACAGGAGCCTGGAGTCAGTCAAGTTGGGCCTATACCATGCAGTTATTTCAGTGTTAGCATCTGATCCATGCTCCTTAGTGTTTTCATTTTGATTTGAATGTATTGGTTTGTCTTGACTGTTTGTCCCATTCTTTCTTTCTTTCTTTCTTACTTTCTTGCTTCCTTTCTTTCTTTTACTTTACTCAAGCAACAGTCTATCTGAAGTTTACTTATAACTGACATTTTGGCTCGCAACACAAAACAAAAATATCAACCAATTGAGATCTCATAGTTTAAAAAACTCAAGAGTTGAGGGACTCATAAATAATGGTATTCAATAATCTAATTTATTTTGAGATAGTTCTAAGTTTTGTATTTAAATTGGCTCTCCAAAATTGTTTCATACTTTTTGTTGTAAATTTTTTAATGCATTGCAATCTATGGAAGTCATGATTTTCTTTACTAGCATGGAACTCATTAAAGTGTATGAACCACAAGTTACCAGACGTAGGGTCCCTCCCTCAAGAAGCCCACAAGGTTGCATGTTTGCACAATATTTTTGTATTATTATTATTATTATTATTATTATTATTATTATTATTATTAAGTGCTTACCTGCAGTGCATATGCAGACCTGGGTCCCGATAAAACAAAAATACAAATTACTCCTGACTACTTTAGCTTTGGGATTATTTCATTATCTGATATGATTTAACCCTTTCATGCACCCTGTTACCTGATAACATGATAAGCTGTCCACTGTAGTAACCACTGTCCCTGAAAGGGTTAATGTATCACATAAATCTGACCTCCGTGCATGAATGCTGCACTTTTGCCCCCTCACGCTCTTTGTACAGGTTAGGTTGGCGACCTTGGTAAAATATTTGCAACTTGAAAGCTCATCCCCCAGGCCAAACATTTCAAAATGTCAGTAAATTACGGATCCGCAACATGTAAATGGGTATTACGTTATTGGCAATGCTAACCACAGTCCTGTATGTGCTCAACCAACTTGCACAATCAGCAGATTGCACATTCAGAACAAAGCACCAACAGGAAATTGAAAAGTCTACATTGTGTTTTGCCTTGGACATGTCTTCAAGAGCTACCAAAAACCATATCATATCATCCTTTTATGTATTCAGCTTTTGTGTGAAGGCACCAGCCAAAAAGAAAATAAGATTTTGGCAAGTTTGGCTTTATCATGCTATTAACCTGTTGTTATAGTGGTTGTCACGGCATACAGAAGAAGCCCACTAAACTGTTTTCCGAGTTTGGTCCTGTGACGTTAAAGAAAAAAAAAAGTCTAGCCAAGTCCATAATTCTAATGTGACCTGGAATAATACCTGTTTGCAAGCACCCCCTCCTCTCTCTTTGACCCAGCTGTGTCTTATTGTCCCTCTTAAATTCCTCCACTCTGGGATCCGTGCCGCACCGCCTCTCCCTCCCCTTACCGTGTTCATTGAGAAGCTGAGTCCAGCAGACTTCTTGGCGCCATATTGGGACCTTATCCATTCACACCTATGTAACTCCTCTCCTCTGCTGTCTTTGTTCGGTCTTGTTACGCAGGTTGCCATGGACGCTCAGCTGCATCTCAGTCTCAAACCAGAATTTTTCCCAACCAAAATGCATGTAGAGGGGCCCCAAGGTCTGAGTCAAGCATGGATGACACCCACCTCAGTGCCTCTTTGGTGGGGGTAATGTCCCAAACTTTATGGGAAGCACCACACTCTCCTCTGCAATGAATAATGAAAAGCTGAAAAAAGCTTTAGTTTCTGCTGATTGTCTTCTCTCATTCTCTGTGTTTTCTGTTGCTATGGGACGTGACTGTTGAGCTCAGCAATTTGAGCGTATATTTGGTTGAAGGACAACTTGAGAGTATCAAATCATTAAAATCTTCAAATTTGCCACACATTCCGAGGGTACACGCTCGTGACAAGCGTCGTGAATTTAAGTAAGAGCCGTCTAGTCGACTGCCGCTGTCAAAGTACTGGTTAACTTCTTTATACGCTTGTGCACCGGTTAATGTTAAACTAGAGAGGCACAATTTTTATGACATTCTTGTCATTGATCATTGAAGCATCTTTAAAGAACGTTTAATGGGTTTTACCCATTCGGATTACTGCGGTAACGTATTCTGACCATCATAAAAGTTAAAATGTGATCAAGCACTACCTGAAAACTCATTGGAGGTTTTTCGGCTGACCAGCCTCTGTTTGAGCTTTAACATTCCCCTTGACTCTGAAGCCCTGTACTTTGAAAACTAACAGATTACAATATTTCGCTTAGAAATGTTTGAACAGGAAACTTGAATAAAAACCCTAATGGGGACAAGCGGTAGAGGCAATGGATGGATTAATGTTTACAAAAATGTATTTGTGCCCCATCACCAGCAAAAAAATAACTTGATTAAATCGAGCAAATGTGTGATTTGAATTTTAAAAAATCCATCGGTGATCAATCAGATCAACATGACGAACCTCAACAATCGATAACAGCAGCTGTAATTACTCACTACAGGTTTGCCAGTCGGTGCGTTACAAATTGCCATTTTGTGGATATTCACCCATCCAGTCATCCTGAGATGATAACAAATGATTTGACCTCTTCTACTTTTAACAGGTTTCTGTTGAACATTATCAGTCTTTGATTTCAGTAGAAAAATGTACATGCTTTGGTCCAATTGCTAAAGTCTATATTTGTCTTAGTTGTGCACCACCTTTAGTAGATCCACCTCAAGTTTAAAACCTGCAGTACAATATGCAAGAGGGAACGTGAGCACTGTATAGGTTTCATAAAGTTGCCTTTAGTTTGCTTTCTGCTGCTTCTTTAATTGTGGCCCTTCTGGCTGTACTTCCCTGAAGGTTTATTATGGCGCTAACTGGGGACTGGTGCTTGGTAACGAGAGACTCATTACCAGATAAGTCTAGTGGGTGAACAACAACAAATAAAGAGTGTTTGTTGTGGCTGGGATGTGGAGACAGAGATCAAATCTCAAACTTTTAGTCTGTGCTATTCACATATTGTGAGCTACTGCATGCATGCAAGGATGTCAGAGAATAATTTTAGAAACTCTTCCATTCCTATTTCAGCTAAGATTCCTTGACGTTAGGCCTATTGAGACTGAGTGTGCAATTTTTGGCATTCATGGAGGTCACAGCACTATAAGTATACAAGACAAATACCAATGTAAACACACCACCCTAAAATAATTTTTAATTCGGTCATCGATTTCTGTTTGCCTTAAATGAATAAGTGAAGTCCATAATTGAAAAAGTGACCCGGAGTCTATTCCGACTGACTTCGGCGCGGAAGGTGGACTTCACCCTGAACTGCTTCACCATGCAGTCAGTCGCAGGGCACATATTGGGATGAACAACCATTCACACCCACATCCACACCATCGCTGATTGGGAACCGATCTCACGCTGTCCGCACACAAGTCAGGCGAGTGTACTACTACAACGTCTGTGACACACATTGGATTTTATTAATTAAAATTGAAATACCGGTACTTAATTAATTTAAATGCCGATTTCGTTTTTAGCACCCTTGGTTCACTTTGGCTTTCTTTTCAGTTCCAAAGTTTGGAATTACTTGTGCATTGTACATTCCAAAAACTGTTCGATGAACTAAAGACTCCGAAAATTTTATATTAAACAGGTTTTGTGCAGTTCACATTACTCTGCAGTACATAGCTGGTCGTCTAGTGTTAAGAGGTGACACACGACTTCTCTCTTCAAACATTTGAAGCATTTGCAGCTGACTATCTATCGGGTGCTAACACGAAGCTGAGCCCTCATCTCTCAGCGGTGTGTCAGCTGCCTCTGCTGTGGTGCCTCACTTTTTTTGTCTATGACGCAGTTTGCACAACATGCCCAAGTCCCCGACGGCCTCCCAGCTCAACACACAACTTTGCTGTGTGTCATTTACACAGGTGCATTCACTGTTTACTTTGTGCAACCTGAGTAACTGTCTACGCGCATTCATGCATGCATACACACCTATTTCCAAACAAACACAAATGCATGCAT